CTTATGTATCTTGACCCTGAGTCCATGCATGACAAAGTGGGAAGAATGCATAAAATACTTTGCTGCACATGGGCTGTCTCAACAAATAGCACCTATGTGAGTATTTGATGTACACACTGAACTAGCTACTTTTTTCACAGATCACCATTTTTATTTTTAAGACATATGGACTAAGATTCTTTTCAAACTTGAGTATTTCACAGGCATTTTCTTGAACATGAATGCGGTATGAATCCAGTAACTAAATTCTAGCATTCATGTAGAAATTGAGATGGGAGAAAACTTCTGTCTGGTACTGTGAACCTGACATCTTCCTAATGCTTAAAGACTTTTCTGTTGAGATGAATAGTGACATTAAATGTTAATAAACAAATTTCTTTTTTTGGTTTGCAATAAAATGTGTCAGCATTTAGCATTTCTACATAACTTAGTAAACCAATATTTTCCAAGTAACTAATGCATGTAATAGAATCATGTATGGGTAAAAGATCCATTCAAAGTGCAAGATAGATGGATTTTAGGGTTGGGGAGAGATTTGGAAAATATAATTATTTTTATTAAAATGTTACTGATGTTAACATATAAGTTTATTGTGAATATTTTTAAATGAATTGATAAACCAATATATATATTTTTAATTCCTCAGTTTTCATTTCTAATACAATAACTATCAATAGGTAAAATTTACATACACAAAGCTCTTTGGAGACTTCATTAATTTTTAATAAAGAGATCCTAATAGAAAGTTTAAAAACTAATGTTTTTGAATTTTGAATATTAAGTCAATACTTTTTTATCATGTTAAGAAAGTAGCTTGTATTGTTATTTGGAACTTTATCAGGAGTGGATGTTAAATATTATTAGAGTGCCTATTGAACATGTATTAAAATGATAATGTTAACTTTTTACCGGGAACCATTAATCTGTATTAATCTAGTAGATTTTACTAATGACTCTTTATTTTCTGGGGCAATCTTTATTTGTTTTTATTGCAGCACTGGATGCTATAGTTACAAATGTTGGTATTTTATCTTTACAAGCAAGATCAGCATGTAGTTTTATTTTTGTTCATTACCCCTTCTCAATATCACAGTTATGCCACATTCATACATGAGAAAGACTCTTTCCTTCTTTCTTTATGAAACTTCATAGCATAGAAATTATTTTTTTCTTTGAAATTTTAAAAAGTCCACCTGTAAAACTACATTAGCTTCATGTTTTCCAATAAGTATTGGTCTTTGAGGGTTTTCTTCCTAAGTTCGTTTTGTTTATGTGGTTGTTTTTTTTTTTTTTTTTTTTCCGGAAAATTGGCACTTTTTCATTGAACTCTTTCCAGCTTCCTTCTTTTACTTATAATTTGTATTCTCTAATTTTCTTTTAATCTATATATTCTCATTTTCATTTTTTCTTGATTACACTATCCTTTGACTTGCCTGTTTTTTTCTCCCATAACAAACCACCTTCCAGCCTTTGTCCTTCCTGCTTCCCTTAGCCTTCTTTTTGTTTTGTTTTGTTTGAATTTTTTAATTTTTTTGTAGAGACATCGTTTCACTAGGTTGCCGAAGCTGGCTTTAAACTTCTGAACTCAAGTGATCCTCTGGCCTCAGCCCCTCAAGTAGCTGGGACTACAGGCACATACCGTGGCACCCAGCTCCCTTAGTCTTGTTTTGTTGTTGACTTTTTTCGGTGTCTATGTTAAATAGCTAATTTCTGTTTTCATATTTCTGTGTTTTATAATACATCCCTTTAAATCTCTTGAGTTGTTCTCCTAGCCTTTTAGGCAACAAAACAACTCATATTTTCAAATTGATATGCAAACAAATAATGTGCTTTTGTCTTTTCAGAATCTTGTATGGGCGAATGAAGAATAAGACTGGGAGTAAAACGCAAGGGAAATCCGCTTCAGGCACCCGCATGGCCATTGTTCTGCGGTTCCTGGCCGGGACCCAACCTGAGGAGATCCAGATATTCTTAGACCTGCTGTTTGAACCTGTGAAGCACTTCAAGAATGGTAACTATCAGCTACCTCTCACTCCAATACCTGTTGTCTGCAGTGGACTTCTCACATCTCAGCTTACATTTCCCAACCTTATGGGCATCTTTCTAACAGGGTTGTTCCTCCCAACCTTGATGGCAATCTTTTTGTTGATGTGCAGTTCATTTTAAACTTTGATTGAATTAGGTGAAGCTGACCATTGGCCCTGGGCATTATTGGCACTCTTGTGTTAGAGCCATGGATGAGAAAATGTGTATTTTTTTACTGCATATTAAGGCCATTTGAAAAATGGTGAATACTTACCCATATAGCACAAAGAATAGGTTGCTTCTAAGAAATTCAAAGAACACTGCAAATTAATCTTAATTGTTTGGCATTTATTCGTTCCCTGAGTCAATCATCTATTCAGTAATGATTTATTGAATACTTCCTGTGCCCTGGGCACTCTGTTAAGTTAAAAATAGAAAAGTACAATCTGTGTACTCAACCTCATAGTTGAGATGAAAGGATGTAATCGTGTATACGTCAAGCTAGAGTGCTCTGTGGTATATAATGTGAGTAATTATTCATAACAGTAATGATTGACATGTACTGAGTGCTTACTTTATGCCAGATGTCATGATAGACCCATTTACTTATAACTCACTTGATCCTTCAGACAACCAACCACGTGAGCTGTCATTACTTAATTGTCCCTGTTTTACACATGAGGACACTTAGGCTTAGAAAGGTATTTCACCCATGGTAACTCAGATGAAAAGTGATAGAGTGGGATTCAATCCCAGACATTTCTGATTATGAAATCTCTGTTCCAGTCCAAAAATTGCTTTGCTTGAGGCCAACACAGAGAATTATTTATAGGGTATTCTGTTGCATTTGTTTTTGTATTTTTTCTATGATAATAGGTCCACTGTTAACAGGTTTTCACTCAGTATAATATTGCCCTGTGAAGGAGGTTGGTTCTGATGAATGACAAGAAAAAGTTTTTCTTCAATGTATAACCCTCACTGTAGGAGGATAGGTATAGACGATACTCTTATGGATGACCCGACTGGGTGTATGAATCCATAAGCTCATGATCTCACATCAGATGGGGTTTTTTTCATGATCTCACATCAGATGGTTTGAAGTAAAGGTCAAGCAATAACAATTCATATCTTTTCAGTAAATTCTGAAATTAATAGGGCAGCAGCCGTTTATAAGGGACTCTGATTTTATTTATTAACTAGGGGCTACAAGAGAAATAAACTTGATTCCCAGCCTTCAAGGAACGTATAATACAGAAAGGTATTTTCAGTGAAACTGCCAAACTCAGCAAAGCTAAGTGAAATGGAGAATAAGAAAAGTGTATAGAAAGTTATCAGATGGAGGGCCAGGCTCAGTGGCTCATGCCTGTAATCGCAACACTTTGGGAGGCCAAGGAGGGTGGATCACCTGAGGTCAGGAGTTTGAGACCAGCCTGGCCAGTATGGTGAAACTCTTGTCTCCACTAAAAATATAAAAATCAGGTGGGTGTGGTGGTGGGCGCCTATAATCCCAGCTACTTGGGAGGCTGAGGCAAGAGAATTGCTTAAACCTGGGAGGTGGAGGTTGCAGTGAACCAAGGTCACGCCATTACACTCCATCCTGAACAACAGAGCGAGACTCCGTCTCAAAAAAAAAAGAAAGTTACTAAATGAAATAAGAGACTATTCGTAACTCAGGTTTTGAGGGATAGTGTAATGAAATTGGATGAGAATTAGGCTTAGAGACTTAGTTCTGTCACAGATTTCTTACCCTCTTATTCCTTAGTTTCTTCATTTCTAAAATGGGAGCAGTTAAACTTGCCTTATCTAGCTCATGGAATATTTGAAAGAATCAAAAAGAGATAATATATAAGAAAACAGTAGAAAATACTGTATTCGTGAGGGAAATGGAAATAACACTACCATTATAAATAGTAACAAACTAATATTTTACCTTTCATGACCTCTCATCCTCTTTGTTTCACTAGGAGAGTGCCATTCTGCAGTCATTCAAGCAGTAGAAGACTTGGATTTGTCTAAAGTTCTTCCTTTAGGCCGTCAACATGGTATCTTAAACAGCCTTGAAATAGTATTGAAAAACATTAGTCATTTGATCAGCACATACTTGCCAAAGATTTTGCAGATATTGCTCTGTATGACAGCAACCGTATCACACATTCTTGACCAACGAGAGAAGGTGGGAGATTCACTGTAGATGCTTTCTTCTTGGGCTAATGGGTGTCTGTGTTTTACCTGGGCATTTGGGTTGGGCCTGATTTACTAACACTCTTCCTCTCTAAATCCTTATGCAACCCTTTTGAAAGTATCTTTTAAAAACAGTCTTCCACATAATGGGACTCTTTGCTGTTATAAATATTTGCTAATGACTAGAAAATGCAAATTGTATCAAGTGTTTTGTTGTTGTTGTTGTTGTTTTTGAGACAGAGTCTCACTCTGTCACTTGGGCTGGAGTGCAGTGGACCAGGCTGGAGTGCAGTGGCACGATCTTGGCTCACTGCAGCCTCCACCTCCTGGGTCAAGTGATTCTCCTGCCTCAGCCTCCCAAGTACCTGGGATTACAGGCGCCTGCCACTATGTCCAGCTAATTGTATTTTTAGTAGAGACAGGGTTTCTCCATGTTGGCCAGGGTGGTCTCAAACCCCCAACCTCAGGTGATCTGCCCTGCTTGGCCTCCCAAAGTGTTGGGATTACAGGTGTAAGCCACCGCGCCTGGCCAAGTATATATTTTAAAAAGTGAGTGGGTTAGTTTTCCGTGTTTCTTAGAAATCCAAGTCAAGTGCTTGAGCTGGTATTTCTTAGATTTTAATTCCAAAAGCCTAGAAGTGTAAGGCATCTTCCAGAATGGCTGGAGAATGAAGAGACCACTGTTACCATCAGCACTGTTATGTTGAGAGTTTCCTAGAAGTCTTTAAAAAGTAAATGCTTACCTACAATAAGTGCAGTGTTTTGAATAAATCTAAGTAACATGAGGCAAGACAAACCAGCTGGCCAGCTGCCAAAAGGTGCTCAGGAAGTGCTTTCTAATTATATTCAAAACTATTTATGTTTTGTTGAAATAGATCTGTGGACATGAGTGTACTGTTTGGAGTTTAGGGAAATAGTTCATAATGTCTTACAGACTGAAGGCTTTTGGGAGAAAAATGCAACTCGAAGTAGAGCTCCAGACTCAGATTTCTGCTGTTGACTCTCAGTTAATTCCAAATAGGCAGTTTTAATTTGGCCAAAATTTATTTCATTTGATTTCTAGATATGCCCAATGAACTACCTCTCAAATACAATCATGATAAGTGAAAACTGACTGCCAAAATTTTAGGCTGTTGGTTTGGGCTATGCATGGATGTGAATCTGCTTTAGGAATAAAATAATATTCTCTGATAACCAAGATGCAGAGATTTAGAACGTTTCTTCCATTTTGGTAGGGACCATTTTGTTTTTCTCATTCTTTCATTCATTCCTTCAACAAATGTTAATTGAGTCTCTACTATGTGTCAGGCACTGTACTAAGCACTGGGAACAGTCAACAAAGCACACAGACATTTATGTTCATTTATTTGTTCATTAAGTACCTATTGAGCACCTACTGTGTGCCAGACATTGTGCCAGGTGGGGAGTGAGACATGTGAGGACTCAGTGTATGGGGAGAAAAAGTATAAATAAATATACACATAATTAGAATAATGTCAGAGGGAAGTACATTCTGAGAGGCAAATATAATGAGGAGACCCTTCTGCAGGTCCCTGAGGCTCATTCTCTGTGTGGCTGTTGTTGAGATTCACTTGGGACAGCTAGCAAAATATTAAGGAAAGCTATAGATTAGTCTCTAGCCTTTTGGAAGGCTGAAAGGTTTTACTGGGACAGGCCGAAGGCAGCTGATCCATTATGTTAGGGAAAAGATAGAGATGATAAAGGCTTTCCCAGTTTAAATCTGTTTACCTCACATCTCTTTGTCTCTACTCTGTTTACTCATGTAAATTTTGTGCTGGATGGTCCTCTCAGGGGGAGATCAAAGGGGAATTACCTGGTAATAGTGTTAACTGTGGGCCTAAAGCCTAAGTTTTTTATCATTGGTAAAACTGCTCTTTTAACCATGTTAATGATGCACAAGCATGTTGACTTAGAACCTCTGTTATGAATAAATGTGTGAATATACAGGGGATCTTGATCCCTGGGTGGGAGTGGTCTTGGCATGTTGTAAGAGTCACCTAAGGTGAGGATGAAAAGGTAGGTCGTGCAGGCTCTGTAGGACCTTGTAGGCTATGACGAGAGGGTGAATTTACTTCTAAGGATAATGGAAACGGCTGAAAGGCTCGAAGCAGGTGAGTGATAAGGTAGTGTTTTAAAAATACAGCTTTGGTTGCTTTGTGGAAAAGAGGCTGTGGGAGGCCAAGAATGGAAGCAGAAAAGTCTTAGAAAATTCTTTCTCTGTTATATGAGAGTGTAATAAGGGCCATAGGGGGGAATTAGGTGAGAATCTTTTTATGTCTTGTAGCAAGAGATAGTGACTTTATCTGTATATGGGTATATCAAATTGTGAAAGGTTTGCGGTCTTATAAAGCCTGTGTAGTTCCTTCACATTTTTGGTTGACTTAGAAGTTACTTAGCAATGCAGCCTCACTCCCAAGTCAATAATTAGTAGCTCAGAGGATTATTTATGTAATTTCACAGTTCATTCGTTAATGAGATGTTAAGCTTGTGACAGGTGTGAACTTTCTTATATTTACTTTTGAAATTCTTGAACCCATCCAAAGAATTCCTTAAAGTGAATTATTGCACAGTAGTTTTGCTTAAGTAAGTTAAAGTTCTACAATTTTGTGCTTGAGCCCAGTTATATATTTACTTTTCTGTGTCTTCAGAGCATTGATTGGCATTTGAAAATTGTTGGTTTGGGGGAGTTTTTGTACATTTAAACAACAGTGTAACTTATAAAAATAAACAAACTCAATCATAACGACTGTTGCTCTGGAATTAAAGTCTACGATGGCTGGCTTTCAAGGTTTTTCCTCTAGTTTATTCAACGATTATTTAGTAAATTGGGCAGCTGGCACTTTAGTTACAGAAATGAATAGAATATACAGATTCTACTCAATGGAAAGGGTGGAGATGTGTGGGGAGTGTCTGTTTGACATCATGTTTGCAATTGTGAGTTTCATATTTGCCCCAGATACTGTGTTTTTTCAAATATCAGAGTTAATATTTTATCTTTCACCAAACTTGATGCAGCTGATGAAAATATTGCTAGTAGAATTGAAGCAGAGCAGAATGACTTGTAACTATATCACCTTGTGCTTGCTTACCTGTCATTTCCTTTGTAACTTGTATAATGAGATAATTAGCTATGATAAGTAATTTTCCTATTATTTTTCTTCATGTTATCTTGGCCATAAGACTTGATATTCACTGTATGAGAGCATTTGTGTTATATTTATAAATTGCAAAGTGGCTTTTAGGTTTTGACATAGGTAATTAAGATGATATATAAAAATAAATTATCACTTGTATGTCTAGAGCCCACAGTTTACCATTAATCAAGTGAGAAAACAATTAGGGGTTGAATCTTCTCCCATTTATTTTATTTTGTTTTATTTAACATTCTGTGCTAGGGAAAAATCCTTCTGAGGTCCTTGTCTCTCCCCTGCTTGGCCTAAAGCTCTTCATTCTTTAGTACACAGTAGAAATCTGCCTGTTTCATGAAGCTCTATCCTGAAATTTGTAGTAATTTCTCCTATTGAAATATCTGTGGCATTTTCAGTCTCTCACATACAGTCAATAAATTTGCCTTTAATAAGATTTTCAGTTGAATTGGGGTCAGGACCGTGGCTGGCCACTAAAGCCATTAGTAGGGACTCAATAAATTGTTCTTCTCTGAGTCTGAACAAATTGTCTGCATATTTGTGATTTTATAACTCCCAGGGAAGGAGATACCAGTGGAAGTAGCAATATTTGTCATTTTAAAGATTTGCTTTTATTTCACACTCATTCCAGCCTCTATGCCTCTAAATAGACAAATCCTATTTCTTTCTAAATTGCATTTTCCCTTCAACTATGTATGTTGAGATCCTCCTATCCCTTGATTCAGTCACCTCATCCTCTTGCCCTACAAGAAGTATTTCACTGTATGGAAAGATCATAAATTCCTTAACTAGTCCCGTAGGCTAATTTTAACAAGAATAATTTATAATTTCTAGTCTTAAGTAAAATAGTAAGTATGAAAATAAATACAAAAATGGCTTTTATTTGAAATGAAGATTTAACTTTTTCCCCCTAATATAAGCTATTATGATGGGGGGAGAAAAAAAGTTGTCTGGGTACGGTGGCTCATGCCTGTAATCCCAGCACTTTGGGAGGCCGAGGAGGGCTGATCACAAGATCAGGAGATCAAGACCATCCTGGGCAACATGGTGAAACCCCCTCTCTACTAAAATACAAAAATTAGCTGGTTGTGGTGGCATGTGCCTGTAATCCCAGCTACTCGGGAGACTAAGGCAGGAGAATCGCTTGAACCTGGGAGGTGGAGGTTGCAGTGAGCCGAGATCATGCCACTGCACTCCAGCCTGGCAACAGAGCTAGACTCCGTCTCAAAAAGAAAAAAAAGTTCTGCTTTGTTTAGAATGTTCTGTTTGTGGGAAGAAATCAGGACTTAAATAAGAAAGTAAAACAATGTAGAATGCAAAACAACTATTCCAATTCTAATAGTGTTTTTTCTTAAGGATAACTAATGTGACTACAAGGTGTGATATTGTTTTAAGACTCTGCTTTCTTTTCTTGTTCAATGAGAAAAGTAAGACAGTTGGCTTGGTTGGCATTCCATGTGAATCAAGTCAACAGATTTAGTAACAGGATTTCCAGTTTGATTTTTAGCCACTGAGCAAGAGTGCCTCTCTGAGGAATCAAGGATAAAAATGATATATATGTATTTTTTTAAATAGAAGATCTTTGTTTTACAGATACAGCTGAGATTTATTAATCCATTGAAAAATTTAAGACGTCTTGGAATCAAAATGGTAACTGATATCTTTTTGGATTGGGAATCATATCAGTTTAGAACAGAAGAAATTGATGCTGTGTTTCATGGTGCAGTTTGGCCCCAGGTAAACCTCGATTTCTGCATCTGCCTGTATACCTGTGTTTTTTCCTTTATTACTAACTCACCAACATAGCTACCACCCAGACATGAATGTGTACCCTGAGCCCCAGTTTCTTTTACATTGAGCCCTTCTTTCTGGAAGTTTTTAGAACACTTTTCTTTGCCTTCACTCCCATCTAAAACTCAAGAGTTAATTTCTGCTATACCACGGCCTTTACGCTTAAGATTCAATTGAATATGAATGTGTCTCTTAAGCAACTGTAACATAACCTTTTTTTCTTTTTTGAGACAGAGTCTCGCTCTGTTGCTTAGGCAGGAGTGGAGTGGTGCAATCTTGACTCACTGCAACCTCCACCTCCCAGGTTCAAGGGATTCTCCTGCCTCAGCCTCCTAAGTAACTGGGATTACAGGCATGCACCACCATGCCCAGCTAATTTTTGTATTTTTAGTAGAGATGGAATTTTGACATGTTGGCCGGGCTGGTCTTGAACTCCTGACCTCAGGCGATCTGCCCACCTTGGCCTCCAAAAGTGCTAGGATTACAGGCGTGAGCAACTGCGCCCGGCCTGTAACATGACTTTTATAGCACCTCACATAGCCTTGCCTCTGGCTTTTGACAAGCATGAGGGAAAATATGCAGGTGTTTTTTATTACATAATTTTTTAATTTCTCTGGTTGTAACCCCTTGGAGATGATAACTGCTGTAGGTGTAGACTGTAGGAGAGATTTGATTTTAAGAAATGTTTCAGCTGGGCACAGTGCCTCATGCCTGTGATCCTAGCACTTTGGGAGGCCAAGGTGGGTGGATCAGCTGAGGTCAGGAGTTCAAGACCAGCCTGGCTATCATGGTGAAACCCCATCTTTACAAAAAAAAAAAAAAAAAAAAGAAATGTTTCTAGGTGCTTGAGGTCTCAGTCATTTCTGACACTCTGAAACCTAAAATATCAGTTCCTTTCAAGTGTCTAGCACTTCCATGCATCACCTTTGCCATTTTTCCTATGTAGATGTTCTTTTGGATTGCTTTATACTTTTTCTTATTCTGTCATTTGGATATTAATCTCTGTCCCTTGTCATTTTCATCCTCTGCTGTGATTTCTTTGCCTGTTAGTTATTTGTGGTTTTTCTACAGTTTGGTATGTGTATTTGGTATTCTGTTTTTTACTTTGTCTCCTAGATCAGCAGGCTTGGATCTGAGAGTCAGTATTCTCCCACTCCTCTGCTGAAACTGATTAGTGTCTGGAGCAGAAACGCAAGGTATAATTTTTCTTTTTTCCTCCTTTAAAAAGGGCAGTGTTTTAGATGAATCTGGTTAAAGCAGTTCAGGGACTATAATAATATAATTTATCATCTTTCCATACAGTCAACTACTTTAGGTATAGTTAAAGAGAATGGGACAGCTGAGTAAAAGCAAGGAAAGATCTCAAAATACATAGTTTAAAGAAAAATGCGGCCATGCACGGTGGCTCGTTCCTGTAATACCAGCACTTTTGGGGGCAGAGGCAGGGTTGCTTGACCTTAGGAGTACGAGAGCAGTCTGGGCAACATATGAGACCTTGTCTCTACTGAAAGTCAAAAAGATTGGCTGGGCATGTGGTGCACACCTGTAGTTCCAGCTATGTGGAGGCTGAGGTGAGAGGATTGCTTGAGCCCACAAAGTCGTGGCTACAAGGAGCCATGACCATGCCACTGCATTCTAGCCTGGGTGAAAGTGAGACCCTGTCTCAAAAAAAAAGATAAATTGCTTGACAGTGTATATAGCATGATCCAGGAGTGTGTCTGTGTGTATTAATATGAAATTAAATACAAGCTGTCTAGAAGGACACATGGAAACTGCTAACGATGTGACTGTAGCATGTGGAGGTTTAGGTGGACCAGAGCAGGGAGAGGAGACTTTTCATAATACATCCTTTGGACTATTTGAATTTTTTATAATAATTTAAAAGGAAAAATAGGTAAAATAACATCTTACAAAGTAATGAAAATTTTAGAGTATGTATTACAGCTCAACCCAATACCTTTTTTGTGATTTTTACAGTTTGATTGAAACTTGAAAATTGTAAGTATTAGAATTGATAGAGATGTTCTTGTAATGTATGTAATAATTATGTCAGCAGTTTGATTTGGCCTGGCAAAGGGAGAAACAGAATGTGAAACACACAAGCTAGTTATATCATCACATAAATATTATCATTTTCTGCCTGCTTGCTTAAAAATAAACACAGGCGTGTAATTGGCATTCTATGTCTTTTTCCCAGTTCCCTATGAAAATGAGGAAAACCTCACAAGCTTTCTCAATTTTCTAGCCCATTGTCTTCTTTGTGAAACTCCACCTAAATGTATATTCAGCTCTCATGGTCAGAGAAGGTTTTATTATTGATTCAGTGGTGTTAATGTCCTAGTCTTCATTTTTACAAAGCTGGAATCATACTGTATAACTGGCTTTTGATTTTGCTTTTTTCATAAATCATTACATCATGAACATTTCTTCATGTTGTTAGTCTTCAAAAACAAATGAAAAACCTTGACACTGTCTTCCTCAGAAAAACTTGTTTATTTTACTAATAATAAATTCTCTACATTTATTCCCCAGTTTGACACAGCAATTTTATGTCTTTATCATTAGACATTTGCAAGCAACATTTCATAGGCATACTTGAGAAATGTTATATAGTTTTGTCATTTCTATGCAAATAAGCCATGAAGGACTTTAATCCAAGAAGACTTTACAATAGAGACTCATTTTTATATTAGTTGGATCTTTATTCAAGATACTGAGCCACATGTTGGATGCCACTTCATTCTCTTCTGCAATTTCTCATTATTTGGTTGGGGAAATAGAAGCATAGCAATGGAAGAGTTCGGCAGCAGAACCTCTTTTTCTCTTTTATACATAACACTTACCTGAAAGAAATCTCTGGAAGGGTTGACTTCCCTTGGAATCCACATAGCAATAGATATGCATATGAAGTTGTGTGTGGAAGAATTAATGAATGAATATTTCAGAACCTTTTTGATGGGAATGTTACTTTTTAATGAAAAATATAGTTACATTTTGCAGTGTAGTTGCAGTTTACGTAATGTCAATCAGAAATTAAAACAGATTTTTCATCTAAAGAGAAGTCTAGCATTTTACTAGCTTATAAGTAAGTTTAAATTGTCTCTGAAATTAGGTGGACTTGGGACAACAAAAACTTACTAACTAGGATGAGCATATACTTTTTTGTCCAAACTGAAAAACTCCTGAGGGTGAAAAGAAATGTAATAAATAAGTCAAAACAGCTGATGTAAGCTGGGACTTCCGAGGCCCCTCTCTCAGCTGCTGTGGTTCTAGTCACCACAGACCCAGCACAGCACAGTCTCTTCCTCCTTCATGCTCTTTCCAGCTCTGTGAGGCCCTGCTGTCATCACATGCTGCCTTTGTTTTATTCATCTATCTTCATAACTTATTATCTACAGCTTTTTCAGGGCAAAGACCATTTCTCATTTATTACTCCACAGAGGGTTACACATCTTAATCCATGTGTGGTTGATAGTCATTGCATGTTGTCTGAGTGATTGGAATTGCTGATTGGGCCATACATGTTAGCATGTAGCATGCCCATTGTACTGTGGCAACAAGTTATGTTGGTCAAGGGAAAGCAGTTTGGTCACTGGGAAGTTGCATTGTATTTGAATGGACTCTTGCTAGGACTTTACTTGCAGTTGAAAGCAGTTCTCTTCCCTTTTCTGCTAGAAAAAGTTTAAGACAACAAAACAACGTAGTGGTTAAGAGCACAGTCTCGGAAGCCACACTAACCTAGCTTCAAATCCTAGCACCACGGTGTGTTCTTTTGGTCAGGTTGGCCTCTGAGCCTCAGTTTTACCACCTGTAAAAAGGATATAATAACAGAGCTACTTCATTGGTAATAGAGATGATAATATAAAATGTTTTATGTAGAGCCTGCCCGTACAATGCACAATATGTGTTGGACAAAAAGATATATGAATTGAACCTCGTAGAACTTTTCTGTCAGTTTGTCAATGCTAAGTATGTTAAAGCTCTCAAGCTCTTTTTATTCCCAGTGATGATGAATTGATAAAGCCAAACTATCTGAATTGTTTCTGTTTGACCTTCTTACTAATTGCTAGGATTGCATATCTGACTGAATCAACTGCTGGTTTACCCTTGGCTGGAAAGCCTTTGTCTCTCTGCCCTTGTTGGTGCATTTCCACTACGAGGGATATTTATAACTTTCATGTGAGTCTTTCATTATTGAGGATGGACTCATCCCCCTCTCCCAGCATTGAATGTTGCATATCCTAATCAACAAACTCTTTTTTGGTCTGTACTCTTAACTCCTACATTCTAGAATGCAGGGTTTTATGTGAGTGTATAAACATTCATCTTCTAGGAAGTTTAAAATTGAAAAATAATCTGTTTTCAATAGGTCTCTTTTAGAAAGAGCTTAGACATTAGAGTTAGATTGTGATTCAAATCTCAGCTCTATTACTTATTAGCTCAATGGCTTTGGACAAATCTGTTTTTTCATCTGTAATGTGGGGATAATGACACTATCACATAGAGATGTTGTGAGAATTAAATAAGAAATATATATATATATATAAAGTGCCTAAGTAATGTGTTTGTAAGGTCATTCTTAAAATTATCCATCAAATTGTAGATTATAAAGTAATACCTCTTTTGAATAATCTTAATGTTGATATACACACACATATGCATATATGTTTGTTAAACTCAGTGTGAAAATTCATATGGACATCTTTTTAGAAGTGAGCATATTGAAAATAAGATGACTACTGCAATGTTTTTTTCTTCCAGATATTTCCCTTTGCTGGCTAAACAGAAGCCTGGGCACCCAGAGTGTGATATCCTGACGAATGTTTTTGCAATTCTCTCAGCAAAGAATCTTTCTGATGCCACAGCCAGTATTGTGATGGATATAGTTGATGACCTTCTTAACCTTCCAGATTTCGAGCCCACAGAAACAGTTTTGAACTTGCTGGTAACTGGATGTGTATACCCTGGCATAGCAGAAAACATAGGTGGTATGTATGCTGACAAAGCAGATAATTCTTAGACTTCTGATGTAGCAGTTGTTTCCTCAGGAGAGAAAAATAATCAGTACAATTTGACTCACTTGAGAGCTTATGCTCATAAGTTTCTTTTCTCTGGGAGCTAATGCTGATTTATATAAACTGAGTTTTCTTTGCCGTTATGACAATAGATTATTTACTCTCCACAAAGTCTCAACCTATCCTCCAGGAAATTATGAAAATGATTTCTACTGTCATGTCACTACATTCTTCTTACCATATTATCCCAAGTAATTCCCTTACTATTACCAAAAAAATGGTTTAAATAAAGCCTCAGGGGTCTCTTAAATAAGTTCTTGATTTAGCTAGTAACATAGCTATTTTTAATAAGAAGAAAGTTTTTGGCCAGGCGTGGTGGCTCACACCTGTAATCCCAGCACTTTGGGAGGCCAAGACGGGTAGATCATCTGAGGTCAGGAGTTCAAGACCAGCCTGACCAACATGGTGCAACCCCATCTCTAAAATATTAATAATAAGAAGAAGAAATAAGAAAAAAGAAAGTTATTTATTTGGAATCGAAATTTAACTAAATGTTTGTAATGGTTGAGTGCTTTTCTTGTCTGTCATCATGAAGTATTGTGTGATTATGCCTTAAGAGAGTTTAAAATCAAAACAGCAATCACTTATCTATTTCAGAGTCTATCACAATAGGAGGAAGATTAATTCTACCTCATGTACCTGCAATTCTTCAGTATCTCAGCAAAACCACAATAAGCGCAGAAAAGGTGAAAAAGAAAAAGAATAGAGCACAAGTCAGTAAAGAGCTTGGCATTCTTTCAAAGTAAGTGATATATTGATACTTAAAAGGCAAAATTATCATCCTTGGTTTTAACTTATTTAAAAAAAATCATTATTTTGGCTGGGCATAGTGGCTCATGCCTGTAATCCCAGCACTTTGGGAGGCTGAGGTGGGTGGATCACCTGAGGTCAGGAGTTCTACAGCAGCCTGGCCAACATGGCAAAACCCTGTCTCTACTAAAAATACAAACATTAGCTGGGCATGGTGGTGCATGTCTGTAATCCCAGCTACTCAGGAAGCTGAGGAAGGGGAATTACTGGAACCTGGGTGGAGGTTTCAGTGAGCCAAGATCATACCACTTCACTCTAGACTAGGCAACAGAGTGAGACTCCATTTCAAAAAAAAAAACTTGTTATTTTGTTTTTCAAGTGTTTGAACCTGGTAATAAGAAGCTAAAATGTCTTTTAGTATTTTTAAAATCCCTTTACTTTTAAAAGTTAATGCAGAATTTCCTTTCTCTGCTGGAATACTTACTAGAAACTGTTTATGACGTCTGCCTTTATTTAATACAATTAAAGGGAACAGATTTTTCAAAATCCTAAAGTAGACTAATAGATTTGTTTAGCCTTTGTGTATTTTGAGTTTTGTGGAATTACAGATTTTTACTCCTTAGTGTAATGATAAAAATAATTAACTTAAAAGAGCAGATTGTTCTGTTTTTTGAGTCAAGATATCACAATGTTTTTTAAGGAGTCTGTTTGACAGTAGACCTACGAGTGTATAATTGTGATCTTTGTAAAGGGAAAGTTCAATAAACCTGAGTGCAAGAAACAATTCTGTCTTAAATTTTAAATTGACCATTACAAGACTTAGTTGTTGAAAATGGATTTTTCTGTTACTTACAACAACATCAACAAAACATGATATGTAAGAATCTTCTAGAAACTTCTTTGCAATGGTTTTTTTTTTTTGTGGATAGAATCTTGCTCTGTCACCAAGCTGGAGTGCCATCTCGGCTCACTTCAACCTCCACCTCACGGATTCAAGCCATTTTCATGCCTCAGCCTCCCAAGTAGCTGGGACTACAGGTGCCCGCCACCACGCCCAGCTAGTTTTTTTGTCTTTTTAGTGGAGACTGGGTTTCACCATGTTGGCCAGCGTAGTCTTGAACTCCAGACCTCGTGATCTGCCCACCTTGGCCTCCCAAAGTGCTGGGATTACAGGCATGAGCCACCACGCCCAGCCTGTAATGATTTTTTAATACTCTTGGATTTCTAAGTTATGCATAATGGGAAATCATACTAAATACACTCATTAAATTCATCCCAGGCTATGTGGTAAGGGAAAGATGATGAGAGAAGATTAAGTACCAGAAAGACCAGAGTTTGAAAGACCTGCTGTACTTCTTCCTAGCTGTGACATGTCAATTTCTGTGGGCCTCAGTTTTTCTTGGGGCAAAATGAGGCTGATGATTTCTATATTGCAGGGCTATTGTGGTTGTTAAATTGAAATACTGTACGTAAACTCTTAATTTAGCTAGTAACATAGCTTTTTTTTTTTTTTTTTTTTTTTTTTTTTTTTTTTTTTTTTTTTTTTTGAGACGGAGTTTCGCTCTTGTTACCCAGGCTGGAGTGCAATGGCGCGATCTCGGCTCACCGCAACCTCCGCCTCCTGGGTTCAGGCAATTCTCCTGCCTCAGCCTCCTGAGTAGCTGGGATTACAGGCACACGCCACCATGCCCAGCTAATTTTTTGTATTTTTAGTAGAGACAGGGTTTCACCATGTTGACCAGGATGGTCTCGATCTCTTGACCTCGTGATCCACCTGCCTCTGCCTCCCAAAGTGCTGGGATTACAGGCTTGAGCCACCGCGCCCGGCCAGCTATTTTTAATAAGAGGGAAGTTATTGGCCGGGCACGGTGGTTCATGCCTGTAATCCGTGAGCTACCACACCTGGCACTTAAAAATGTTATTTCTTTGCAAAATAAAAAAATTACTAATTGCCAGATTATAGCATTGGGGTTCACTCTAACCCACCTATTCACCTGTTCACTCTTACCCACACAATCAGATACTGCAAAAGAAATAGAATAGTAGCCATGAGCTTGATTTTGGAGGGGAGTAAGAATGGGCACAGCTAAATAACTAAAGTAAACTTTTAAACGTGCACACATGCTTAAAAGCTAGCTGTGTGTTGGAATGCTAAAATCGTGTCTTTAGTCACCGATGTTTTGCTGCAAAAAGTTTAACTTCCTAGAGAAATTACTCTTGTATATATTCCTTACGTATCCATTTTTTCCTTCTTTAGGATCAGCAAGTTTATGAAAGACAAGGAACAAAGTTCTGTACTCGTTACACTTCTCCTTCCGTTCCTCCACCGTGGCAATATTGCTGAGGTACGAACTCATAGGACATTGACTTTGTCTTTAGCGTGGCACTTTATCACTAAGTTTACTTGTGAGCCGCAATTTTACTGGCTAGATTTTGAGATGCATTTATCCCAAGGTAATTAAAAGACTTTACATAGAAATAAAAACATTAGAAATAGAGGGAAGAGATTGGGACAGACATAGGAATGGGGGCAGGCAAAAAAGCAGAGACATTGTCATCTGCAACAACAAAGTATTAGCCCCTTTATTTACCTTGTTTAGCCTCTGATTCATTTCAGGGATTTTTCTTTCTCTAACAAACCTAGAACCCAAGAAGTGCATTGTATAATCTTTCCTTTTCTTTCCTTTTTCTTTTCTTTCTTTTTTTTTTTTTTTTTGAGACAGAGTTTTGCTCATGTTGTCCAGGCTGCAGTGCAGTGGCACAATCTCGGCTCACTGTAACCTCCATCTCCTGGGTTATAAGCGATTCTCCTGCCTCAGCCTCCTGAGTAGCTGGGACTACAGGCGCCTGCCACCACGCCCAGCAAAATTTTTTATATTTGTGTTTTAAATACAAACAGGGTTTCACCATGTTGGCCAGGCTGGTCATGAACTCCTGACCTCAGGTGATCTGCCTACCTCTGCCTCTCAAAGTGCTGGGATTACAGCCGTGAGCCACGGTGCCCAGCCACATTGTATAATTAATCTTAACTGTAGATCACAGTGACAACACGGAATAAAAATCAGACTTTTAATATTCAGAGACAACTAAGTGTTTCTGATATGATTTTCAAACCTTAGTTCAATCTTGATTAAGAGTCCTCCAGTGGCACAAGCTCATTTGTCAGACCTCAGTAGTGATACTAAACATTTCTCACCACATAGTTGTTCAATTTAGAAGACCTCATATTGGTAAACAACCAGAAGTGTATACCATTGGCCCTCTGTATTCACATTTCCACATCTGTGGATTCAACCAACCGCGGATGAAAACATTTGGAGAAATAACAATATAATTATAAAAATAATACAAATTTTTTAAACACAGTATAACAACTACTTATATAGCATGTACATTGTATTGGGTATTATAAGTAATCTAGAGGTGACCTAAAATATACAAAGGGTGTGTGGGGGTGATATGCAAATACTGTGCCATTTTATATAAGGGACTTAAACATCCTTGGAATTTGGTATCTTTTGGGGGTCCTGGAACCAGTCCTCCTTGGATACTGAAGGACGACAGTACTTCAGCAAGTTCATTTTCTTTTAACTTTTTTTGATTAGACAGTAGAAGAAATTATGTTTCAAAACTACATATATTGCTTGTTAGAATTAAAGAAAGAAACTGGTTTGTTCTCGTGGGTTTTATATTGAATTAAAGGCTAAAAACTTTTAAAAGATGATAAAATAATTTTTCCAATTACTACTTTTACATCTTATTCATAATTATTTTCTATGCTGTAATATATTGAAGTACAAGTTGACCAGTTTATAACTTACTAAAATATGAGTTCTCTTAATATTTCTTCTCTAGGATACAGAGGTTGATATTCTGGTGACAGTACAAAACTTGTTAAAGCATTGTGTGGACCCTACCAGCTTCCTCAAGCCTATAGCAAAACTCTTCTCAGTTATTAAGAACAAATTGTCAAGAAAATTGCTTTGTACTGTTTTCGAGGTCTGTACTGTTCATTTTTACTACAATTCACCCTTTTTTAAAAAATTTAAGTATGACTTATAAACCATATTAGGGCTTTCTTTATGCCAGAAAGAATGTTTTTATATGAATTTGAGTGGGGACAGGGAGCTGAGGGGGAAGAAGGAAGAAAAGATAAAGTTTTATTCACTGATAAATACACTGTTTTCTTTCCTTTTAGACTCTTTCTGATTTTGAGAATGGGTTAAAATATATTACTGATGTTGTCAAGGTAAGAAAGAAGCATTTCTCTTTGGCTTCAAAAGTATTATCATTTTTATTTATTTAAGATTTATGTGGCTTTATTTATATCATTTCAATGGCATTTCTTATAGCTTAACGCCTTTGATCAAAGACATCTTGATGATATCAACTTTGATGTTCGCTTTGAGACTTTCCAGACCATTGCCTCTTATATTAAAGAAATGCAAACCGTGGATATTAACTACCTAATTCCAGTTATGCATAATTGTTTCTATAATCTAGAGGTAGGTTATTACAGAAAAAATTTCTAAATTATTTTTATTGTTTTGGTAATACAACTGCCTAATACAGTGACCTAACTTCTAAATTTGTGTTTTGACGGGGGACAAGTGTTCTTAGGATCAAATTTCTTTTAGATGAAGAATCTTTTGTCCAGCAAAAAAAAACTTATGATTTGAAAGCCAAATATTGGAGTAAAATAATATGAAAGCATTTTGGGGAAAAAAAAAAAAGAGAAAAGTATATATTAGAATGGGGAAATCCACAGAAATTAAGTAAATTAGGTCACTAAGGGCTACAGAACGGGAGGAATGGGGCGTGATTTCCAGTGAGTATTGGGTTTCTTTTGGGAGAGATGAAAATGTTTTGGAATTAGTGGTGATGATCACACAACCTCACAACCTTCTGAATATACTAAAAACCACTAAATTGTACTATTTCTTTCTTTCTTTCTTTTTTTTGAGACAGGATCTCACTCTGTCACCCAGGCTGGAGTGCAGTGATGCAACCTGAGTTCACTGCAGCCTCCGCCTCCCGGGTTCAAGCAATTCTCCCACCTCAGCATCCTGAATAGTAGCTGGGATTACAGGGGCATGCCACCACATGCACCTAATTTTTGCATTTTAGTAGAGATGTGGCTTCACAATGATGGCTAGGCTACTCTACAACTCCTGACCTCAGGTGATCGCCCATCTCAGCCTCCCAAAGTGCTGGGATTACAGGCATGAGCCACTGCATCTGGCCAAATTGCAAATTTTTTAAAAGGGTGATTTTTGTGGTGTGTCAGTTATGTCCATTTTTCAACATGTAACTATATTAATTAAAAATTTTCCCTTTTTTATTGAAGTTATGAGAGAAATACGAAGTGTTTGGATTATATTAAGTGCTATGTTGCTGAATTGAATTAAAATCCAAAAATGTGGAAAATGAAACCTTTGATTATTGTTAACCATGTAGTGGCATCAATGATCTCTTTGTGGCATTTTATAGTTATTCGTCTAATGTTAAGGATTATGTAATATATGAAAAAATAATTTCCCTGTTTTATACTCATTCTTCATAATTATGCCAAAATTCAGCACAAAAAATTCTAAGTCGCTGCCTGGCTGGCTGAGTCGGGGATACCTTCCCTGTACTCACCTTGACATTCTTCAAACACAAACTCTGGAATAACTAACCAAAATTATACCAGCCAATTCTGTCATTTTCAGTAATGATCTGATAATGAATATTGAAAACTGGCTTTAGTGAACCTTTTAGGCTATCTGCTTTGGGAAGTAAAACTAATTAGCAAGGACATTTCATAGTGCTGTCTGTAATTAAATGACACTTCTTGGAAAGTGTGGTTATTCAGCTATTCACAGTATTACATTCCTCATAGCCCTACATTTTGTTCTCCCTTAGGTATGCAGTATTTGTGAGAACTTGCTTAGTAGGGATTTTTACAAATGCGGTGACAGAATTTGATAGATGGTTACACTGGGAAATAATATTCCATATTGTAGTTATTACCGGGAATAATTTTTTCTCCCCCTATTTGCAGTTAGGAGATATGTCTTTAAGTGATAACGCCAGCATGTGCCTGATGAGTATCATCAAAAAGCTAGCTGCCTTGAACGTCACAGAGAAAGACTACAGAGAAATCATCCACCGTTCACTCCTGGAGAGACTGAGGAAAGGTTTGAAGAGCCAGACAGAGGTATCTGACTTTGTCTTAAGCATTACTATCTGAGGCTGTGTTTTGTTTTGTTTCTCCATGTTTGCTACTGTTGTATGGAAAAGTAGTCAGGCTTAGCGCATTTAATGAGAATACTTGATTGAGTACATAGTCACCAGATTTTTAACAGGTTAGTGGGACTAGAAAGGAAAGCAGTCACTTTTTTTTTTTTAGTTGTTTTTTTTTTTTGAGACGTAGTCTCGCTCTGTCGCCCCGGCTGGACTGCAGTGGTGCAATCTTGGGCCACTGCAACCTCCACCTCCGGGGTTCAAATGATTCTCCTGCCTCAACCTCCTGAGTAGTTGGAATTACAAACATGCACCACCACACCCAGCTAATTTTTGTATTTTTAGCAGAGTTGGGGTTACACCATGTTGGCCAGGCTGGTCTCAAACTCCTGACCTCAAGTGATGCACTTGCCTTGGCCTCCCAAAGTGCTGGGATTACAGGTGTGAACCACCACACCTGGCCACCAGTCACTTTTGATTCTATATAGCTGTCAGGTGTTTTTTTTGTTTTTTTTGTTTTGTTTTGTTTTCGTTTTGAGACAAGGTCTTACTCTGTTCCCAAGCTGGAGTGTACCACCACACCTGGCTGATTTTTATATGTTTGGAGAGACAGGATTTCACCATGTTGTCCAGGCTGCTCTTAAACTCCTGGGCTCAAGCAATCCTGATTTTTCTTTTTTTTTTTTACAGTGAAAATATTCTACTTTTAAAAATTTTATATCTTTTTCTGTTTCCTCATATTATCTCAGAAGCAAATTCTTCTTAACATAAAATAGTTTTTTCTCTACTTCATATTTACAGAGTATTCAACAGGATTATACCACAATACTTTCCTGTTTAATTCAAACCTTTCCAAACCAACTGGAATTCAAAGACTTGGTACAGCTTACTCATTACCACGACCCAGAAATGGACTTCTTTGAGAACATGAAGCACATTCAGGTAGAAGACAGTTCTGCTTTTTCCTACCCATGAAATAAGCATACGTATTTCAAACAGTTCTGTCTCATTTGGAAAGACATGTTTTAACTTTCCCAAAAGGTTTAAGCTTCTCTTTCCTTGGTCTTTATGATCGTCATGGAGATTTGCATTAGATAATCATTTCCTGGGTTCTAATTTCTTTGGTGGTATCAGAAAACCACTGTTAATAATAGTGTAGCTTTTCTCTGCCATTTCAAATCTAAGAAGTATAAATGCTTTGGGCCCATTGTTAAACAAATGCTATGGATTATATCTTTGAAAGCGAATCAAGGCACAGGTGTTTACTCATGTAACACATGGACTGTGTTTCACTCCTTTAATCTTTTCACGAAAAGAGAATATGATACTAAAATGGAGCGGGTTGTAGTTGAGATTGTTTGGTAACTAATTCATATTTCATCTAACTCATAGATTCACAGAAGAGCAAGAGCCTTGAAGAAACTGGCAAAACAACTAATGGAAGGCAAAGTTGTTCTGTCTTCTAAATCTCTTCAGAATTACATCATGCCTTATGCCATGACTCCAATTTTTGATGAGAAAATGCTCAAGGTAGGTCATTAGATCTAGAAACCAAGGACCCTCTTCCCATACCATGACACACTTTGCCAAAATGTAGATGGAGTTGGTGGTATTTATGTTGATGTCATCACTATAATTAGAGGTTTAGAATAGTTCTAAAGAACTGTGCCTGACACATAGTAAATTCTGTATAAATGGTGGCTGTTATTTGTATTTTCACTATTATTGGCTCACAAAGGCCAACCACAAAATATTATTCCTCCTAGAAATTATCACATTATTAAAATTGCATACTTTTATTTTCATGTCAAAGGACTTAAATCTGGTTAACTCCCCTAGTCAGCAATCATTATTTTCCCAAATGAGTTACAAGAAATGAAACGAAACAGTAGTTATCATTAACACTATACCAGTTACCAGGCACTATTTCAAATGCTTCATTCTTACAAGTCAACCTTCATTCTTACAAGTCCCAACCCTATGGACTAGGGTAGGGACTATTCTTCAACTACTATTTTACAGGAGAGTAATCTGAGAAGTGAGGCTATATAACTTTTTCAAAGATGCCCAGAGTCAGAACTAATATTCAAACTTAGGGCTATTTTAACCATTATATTACACAGTGCCTAGAATGATGCCTGGCACACAGTAAAGATTAAATAAGTAATTATTGGTTAAAAAGATTCATAGGTCGAGCGCATGGCTCACATCTGTAATCTCAGCACTTTAGGAGGCCAAGGCAGGTGGATCACTTGAGGTTAGGAATTTGAGACCTCAAGCCAACGTGGCAAAAACCCATCTGTACCAAAAACACAAAAATTAGCCAGATATGGTGGCACATGCCTGTAATCCCAGCTACACTGGAGGCTGAGGCAGGAGGATCACTTGAAACCAGGAGGCGGAGGCTGCTGTGAGCCAAGATCGTGCCACTGCACTCCAGCCTGGGTGACAGAGACTGTCTGAAAAAAAAAAAAAAAAAAGATTAATGAAAGATGTTATTAAATGGTCATAGAAAATCAAATCTAATTGCAGTAATGTCAGGATTGATGACTTAAATTTATACTGTTGATTGCATAGCTTTATACAATAATAGGTTACCTCTATTGTTTCAGGATATTCAAAATGTTTAAAAGAACTAAGTAGTTAAAAGATAGCTCCCTTTTATTCTAGTTTAAAAAAGCTAGTAAGCACAACCCAACTATTTGATACCATTGAAATATGAATGGCGAATAGATGGAAAAATAGAAATACTTAGCTTTGGTTGGTATTCACATGGTATATTCTTGTTTTTGAAATGGAGTCTTACTCAGTCACCCAGGCTGGAGTGCAGGGGCATGATCTCGGCTCACTGTAACCTCCACCTCCCAGGTTCAAGTGATTCTCCTGCCTCAGCTTTCTGAGTAGTTGGGATTACAGGTGCCCACTACCACGCCCAGCTAATTTTTATATTTTTAGTACAGACAGGGTTGAGCCATGTTGGCCAGGCTGGTCTTGAACTCCTGGTTTCAGGTGATCTGCCCACCTTGGCCTCCCAAAGTGCTGGGATTACAGGCGTAAGCCATGACGTCCCTCTGTATATCCTTTTCTAGCCTTATATTTTTAATCTAATTGTGACTTTACCTTTAAAGTTGGGTTCTTATTGGTAGCTTTTAACTGGGTCTTGCTTTTTATCCAATCTGACAATGTCTCCCTTTTAACTGGTATTTAGACCATTCACATTTAAAATATTATTTATAAGGTTGTGTTTAGATCTGAGTCTTGTTATTTTTCCATTTGACACAATTTTTTTTCTCTTTTTCTTTTTTCTGTTGGATTAATTGTACTTTTTTGATATTTTATCTCCATTGGCTTATTAGTTATTGAGGGATTTTTGTCATAGGTTTTTGCATCTCCATTCATTTTAAACCACACAGTACCTTGTTCTCATTTTTGCTTTAAATAGTCAATTATCTTTTAAGGAGCTCTTTGAAAATTAAAAAAAAAAGGTCTTTTATATTTTCTTACATATTTATAGTTTCTTTGTGAAGATCCAGATATTCATCTATCATCATTTTTCTTCTTTTAGTTATATTTTTAAAATTTCTTATTTATTTGTTGTGGCAGGAAACAAAGGAGGCTTTTTGTTGTTTTTTTTTTTGTTTGTTTTGGGGTGTGTGTGTGTGCGCGCGCGCACGCGCGTGTGTGTGTGTTTTGGAAACAGGGTCTCCCTATGTTGCTTAAGCTGGTCTTAAACACCTGGCCTCAAACAACCCTCCCACCTCAGCCTCCAAAATATTGAGATTACAGGCATGAGTCACTGTGCCTGACCTTCATTTTATATCTTACAAGAGGACTTCCTTTAAATTTGTAGTACAGGTCTACTAGTGATTCATTCTTGCAGCTTTTGTTTGTCTTTTCTTGTCTTTGTCTTTGCAAGATAATATAACGGGGTATAGAATTCTAGATTGACAGGTTTATCAGGTTTTTTTTTCCTTCCAGTATGTTAAAGATGGTGCTCAACTGTGTTCTGGTTTCTACTGTTTCCAAAGAGAAGCTATTCTTAACTTTGTTCCCCCGAATGTAATTGTAATGTGTTTGGGGTTGTTTGTTTTGGTTTGGTTCTGTTTTTTGTTTGCTGCTGCTGTTGTTTGGCCTGGCCCTTGCAGAACAATATCTGTGGATTTTTTCATAGAGGTTTTTCTTAATTGCTTTTAAAGATGTATCTCTTTACCTTTGGTTTTAAGCCGTTTGATTATGAGTGCTTAGTGTCGTTTCCTTTATGGTTCTTGTGCTTGAGTTCCTTGACCTTCTTGAATATATAGATATGTAGTTTGCATCAAACTTGAATTTTTTTTTTTTTTTGAGGCAGAATTTCACTCGGGTCACCCAGGCTGGAGTGCACTGGCACAATCTCAGCTCACTGCAACCTCTGCCTTCCAAGTTCAAGTGATTTTCCTACCGTAGCCTCTCTAGTAACTGGGACTACAAGCACACACCGCCACTCCTGGCTAATTTTCTGCATTTTCTGGTAGAGACATGTTTTCACTATGTTTTCCAGGCTGGTCTCGAACTCTTGACCTCAAGTGATCCCACCATGGCCTCACAAAGTGTTGGGATTATATGGTTGAGCCATCGTTCCCAGCCAAACTTGGAAATTTTCAAATATTATTTCTTTAAATATTTCTGGGTCCTCTTCTTGCCTTTGGAGACTCTAGTGTACATTATTAAGTCACTTGGAGGTTATCCCATAACTCAGAGGTTTTTGTATTGTTTTGCTTTGTTTTTGTCATCTTTTTTTTTTTTTTTTTTTTTTTTCTGGGTTTCATTTTTCTGCTGCTCTGTCTTCAAGTTCACTAATCTTTTCTTCTGCATTGTCTAATCTGCTGTAAATCCCATCCAGTATATCTTCCCTCTCAGAATTGTCTTTTTTTATCTCTAAAAGTTCCATTTCTTTTTAAAATATCTTTCATGTCTCTCCTTAACATGCTCATGCTTTCCTCTCTTTTATTTTTTTAAATATTAATTTTTAACCACTTATATCCATATGAGAATTTTAGAATTATTGCCAAGGATACTAGAAAACTTGCAGAGTGTCTCACTCTGTCTCCCAGGCTGGAGTGCAGTTGTGTGATCATAGCTCACTGCAGCTTCAAACTCCTGAACTCAAACTATCCTCTCACCTCAGCCTCCCAAGTACCTGGGACTCCAGGTATACACCACTGCACCTGGCTAATTTTTAATTTACTTTTTGTAGAGATGGGGTTCTCGCTTTGTTGGCCCAGGCTGGTCTCAAGTGATCCTCCTGCGTTAGCCTCCCAAGTAGCTGAGACTGCAGGCGAGCACCACCATGCCTGGCTGTAATTTCTTATTAGGTGCCAGACATTATTAATTTTACCCTACTGGGTGTTGGGTATATTTGGATGTCTTTAAGTATTCCTGAGAATTATCCTCAGATGCAGTTAGGTTGCTTGTGAATAGTCTAATTTTTTGGAGTCAAGCTATCTTAGGCAGGAGCAGCTGTTAGTCTAGGACTAATACAGCCCTGCTACTGAGACACTACCGTTCTAAGGACCTGAATACCAAATGCCCTGTGTAGCATGAGGTATTTCACTCTGGCTGATAGGACTGTGAACTATTCTCAGCCTTGTATGGTCTTTGATGATTGTTTTGCCTGTTCCCTTCTTTGGTCCCTTTCCTGTGTCTTCCTTACACACACTTACGGCTCATTAAAAAGCAGAGCTCGAAGGGCTTGCTCTCTGCAGCTTCCCTCTGTGCAGCTCTCCTCTCTGGTGCTGTGCCTTGTGGACTGTAGCGACCATAGCCTCAACCCTGTTCCCTAACTCAGGAAGACCACTGGGCTCTTTTGGGGCCTCTCTTCTTGTGCTGCAACCTAACAGTTCTCTCCATACAGTAAATCGGGGTAATTACAAGCCTCACTTTATTTCTTTCCTTTCTTTAAGAGATCATTGTCCTGCAGTGATTGATATCCAAAGTTTGGAAACTGTTGTTTCATATATTTTCCCTGCTTTTCTAGTTTAAGTTATAAAGGTAAATCCACTCTATATTTTTCATCATAGCCTAAAAGAGATGTCTCTGAGGCAGTGTACTTTGTTTTTGTTTTTTGATAAAAGTTGCAGGGTACATGTCCAGGATGTGCAGCTTTGTTACATAGGTAAACATGTGCTATGGTGGTTCGCTGCACCTATCAACCCATCACCTAGGTATTAAGCCCAGCATACATCAGCTGTTTTTCCTGATGATCTCCCTCACCTCAACCCCTACTGCACACAGTGTACTTTTGAGGGCTGAGTAGCACAATGTATAGTGTTTGTCATTTGCCAGTTTTTCTACATTGAATTTATTTCATTTGCTTTCTGTAGTCTTGAATCCACTGGGAGGTCTGAGTGAGAAAGTCCAAAATATGTTAATAGCCTTTAAAGGATGATGTCATTCCTTTAAATTGATAGCATGTTTTCTTAGGGTTAGAGGGAAAAATGAGTATAGTTTGGGCATTCTTCTTCTATAATTACCAAGAACCTACTATTCTTTCTCTTCTGTGATTACCAAGAACCTACTAAGTTTTTCAATATACTGAGTTAGCCTTGCATTTTATTAGCAAATACTTGTTCTGCATTGATGCTCTCAATTTATTTTACAGCATGAAAATATAACCATTGCTGCCACAGAGGTTATTGGAGCCATTTGCAAACATCTCTCTTGGTCGGCATATGTATATTACTTGAAACATTTTATTCATGTCTTACAAACAGGACAGATCAATCAAAAGCTGGGTGTCAGGTGTGGTCAAATTTATTATTTTTGTTTTGTTTTTTAAATGTAATTTTAAAAATATTTTCTGAATTAGTCTTTCTGTAATCTCAATTTACTTTTACCTTGTATTGATAAGATTATGCTAATACTGGTCAAAATTTAAAATACTAATAAAAAACAATGTTAATGTTTATTAGTGTTTAAATTAAATTCCCTCTCCTTCTGTAGTCCAATGATATTAATAATCAAATGAACATTTCTGTGTACTTTTTTTTTTTTTAACAGTTTGCTAGTAATAGTGTTAGAAGCATTTCACTTTGACCACAAAACTCTTGAAGAACAAATGGGAAAAATTGAGAATGAAGAAAGTAAGTTTCTTAAACTTTCTTAAACTAGATTTTCATCTTATTCTTGGATAGTTTATGATAATGAATTAAAGATGGCAAAAATCAACTCACTCCCTTTGTCTGCTCTTACTAGCAATGGCCAGTTAATGAGTCAGGAGGGAGGCTAAAATAAATGGTTTAAGTATTCTTGGAAAACCTTATTTAACAAAAGAGAAGGCTAGTCTAAATTGTATTAGTGAAAAAAATGTGAGCTGTAGATTATTTATATAGGAATTCAATTTTATCCCCGTCTTATGTGAGAAGAGCATTACACAATGAATGCAAAGAAAGTGTAAAAAAAAAGTAATGAAAAGTTAGAGCAGCAGGCCATGCCTGTAATCCCAGCACTTTGGGGGCTGAGGCAGGCAGATCATCTGAGGTCAGGAGTTTGAGACCACCCTGGCCAACAGGGTGAAACCCTGCATCTACTAAAAATACAAAAATTAGCCGGGTGTTGTGACGGGTGCCTATAATCCCAGCTACTCGGGAAGCTGAGATAGGAGAATCGCTTGAACCCGTGATGTGGAGATTGCCGTTAGCTGAGATCATGCCATTGCGCTCAAGCCTGGGCAACAAAGAACAAAACTCTGTCTCAAAAAAAAAAAAAATTAGAGGGACAATTGGTGAAAAACAAACTAGATACAATAGAAAAGATCAACAAAGCTAAAAATAAGTATTTGAAAAGATTATAAATTGAGCCAGGGACCATGGTTCACAACTATAATCTCAGCTACTTGGCAGGCTAAGGCAGGAGGATCAGTGGAGTCCAGGAGTTGGCTGCAGTGAGCTATGATCGTGATAGCACCACTACCTTCTAGCTTGGGTGACAGAGTGAGACCCTATGTCTAAAAAAAAAAATAAAAAATAAAAATAAATTATTTAAAGATTATAAATTGGCAAATTTCTGATAAGATTGATCTGTAAAAATAGAAGACATAATAAACATTACTGGAAATTAAAAAGGGTCACAATTAAGTGAATATCTTTGTATTTATAAATTTGAATACTTCGCTGAGATGTACAAATTCTTAGAAAAATATAATACAAAAACTAACTTTAGAAGAAAATAGAAAATCCAGATAGATGTCTAACCATAAAGAAATTGAATCTACAGTTAGACTGGGCATGGTAGCTCATGCCTGTAATCCCAGCACTTTGGGAAGCCAAGACACTCGAGGCCGGGAGTTCGAGATCAGCCTGGTCAACATAGCAAAACCCCATCTTTACTAAATATACAAAAAATTAGCTGGGCATGTGGCACACACCTGTAATTTCAGCTATTCAGGAGGCTGAAGCACGAGAATTGCTTGAACTCAGGAGGCAGAGGTTGCAGTAAGCGAGATCACGCTGCTGTACTGCAGCCTGGGTGACAGAACAAGACTCTGTCTCAAAAGAAAAAAAAAAAGAAAGAAAAATAAAGAAGTTGAATCTGCAGTTTGTTTTATAGCTGACTTTTACCAAACATTCAAGGGCTAGATAGTTTCAACCTATACCAGCTATTTCAGATAATTGGAAAAGGGGAAGCCCCACTAACTTGTAAAATTATTGTGATCGCATACCAGAAACTGACAAAGACTCTATGGGCAGTCGGCTGTCATTAGGATTTTCACGATCATGAATGGAGGTACTTTATTTGGTTAAGACATTCTTGCCATGCCTTCAGTGTGTTCCCCAATTACCCTGTATTTGCTGTTCTTTTATAATTGGCAGTTTATTTGTCTCTCTCTCATTAAACTATAAACTGTGAGAAAGCAAAACCCATTGCCCTCTCATTTACAGTTCTTTCCTCAGCACTTACCTTGCCTGCCCACAGTTGCTGATTAGATTTTTTTTCTACCAGAAGTTGGATGTTAGTGGGAAAAACTGTTTACCACAAATGTGTGGTTTCCTTATTGGATTTAAGGTGCCTTTTGTTGTTTATTAAACATAGATGCAGTTGAAGCAATTGAGTTACCAGAGCCTGAGGCCATGGAATTAGAGCATGTGAATGAGGAAGAGAAGGAAAATACATGCAAGAGTTTGTCAGACAGCGAACAACCGGGAACCCCTGATCCGGCGGAGTCTGGAGGGACATCAGCCAAAGAATCCGGGTGTATCACAAAGCCTGTCTCTTTCCTTCCTCAAAGCAAGGAAGAATTAGAGAGAACAATGAAAAATATCCAAGGAGCCATAACTGGGGATATTCTACCCAGGCTACATAAATGCCTTGCATCTACGGTAATAACCTTATTTGGGGTCTAGCAGGTCTGTGTGAATTCTGGTGTTGGTGGGGCCCTGTCAGAATGAGGCTTTTAGTGATTATTGATTGATTTCAGCTTTTAGATTTCCTTTTATCTCAACACTTCATAATTCACCTCTCTGCTTCTATCTCATCAGCCTCAGGCTTATCCTGCTGCAACTAAGCAGTAACACTCCTTCTTTATGATTGTGAAATGGTAGATAAATGCTTTTCTGTCTCCAAAGTAGTTATTAAGAGACTCTCATGTCCCAGAAAAGGTTATTAAAAATTAAAATAATGTTTCCCTTTTCTACTTTTTGGTCAGTTCTGCACTACTCAAAATTCATCTTTCTCCTAGTTAACAGGGATACCATTTAGCAGTGAAGTCAGAGCCTTTCCTTTCTTCTCAAGGTGAAACATGGGTTGGCCAAATATGGCTCAGGCACTAAATCTAGCCTGTGGCCTGTTTCTGTATAGTTTTATTGGAACACAGTTACCCATTTGTTTACATAATGTTTAGTACTGCCTTTTCATTACAACAGCAGGGTTGAGTAACTTCAACAGAGCCTATAAAGCTGCCTGTTCACAGAAAGTTTGCTAACTCCGGTATAAAATATTGATTTGTATTTTGTATACCTGTAAATAAACCTTTATGTGAGGCCCTGTATTTATTATATACCAACAGTGTCACTCAAACACTTGACAGCCAACTGACACACATTTTATGTGAGTTTTCTATACTTCACAGCAGTCTTAAACCATATTGGTAAAAATCTGGCTTTATTTTTTTCTGATGGCTTCTTTGAAAAGTAGAACATTCTTACTTCTTACTTAGTTATAAACATACTTAACTCCTGTTATTTTTATAATTTTTAGAAGGTTATCCTCAAATTAGAGATTTGGTTTGTTTTGAAATAAACTTAATGGGCTGAAGATCTACAGAAAGAGCTGTCTTCTTTCCTTTTTATTTATTTATTTTTTTGTGTGTGACCATCTTTCTAGAAAACTTGTCTTTCAAATGCAAGGTTGCAGTGTTAGTAGATCACTGATCCATTTGTTTTCATTTTAGTTTAACCTCAATTTTTCTTACAGACTAAAAGGGAAGAAGAACACAAGCTCATCAAGTCAAAGGTTGTGAATGATGAGGAAGTGGTTCGAGTTCCATTAGCTTTTGCCATGGTTAAACTAATGCAGTCCCTTCCACAAGAAGTTATGGAAGCTAATCTGCCAAGGTATGTTTTGTAACAAATTAGAAGTTTAGTGAAACTCAAAACTTGGTTCTTTTCTTCGTTACTTTTGAATCTCTTTGGTCAAGAAGAGGAAAAGTACTGTCATAACTTGTCTGTGGTTCAGAATCTTAATAGGGAAATTTGAGTTATGAGCAAGAGACAAAAGCATATTTATATGTTTAATTGCTTCTGTTTATTTGATTAGTCATTTTTCAACTTCTCTTTTTCTAGTATTTTGCTGAAAGTATGTGCCCTACTCAAGAACAGAGCACAAGAAATCAGAGACATTGCACGGAGCACTCTTGCGAAAATAATAGAGGATCTTGGTGTGCACTTCCTCCAATATGTTTTAAAAGAATTACAGACTACCCTTGTCCGTGGATACCAGGTAAATTGCAGCTTGAACACTGCAAGTTATGGAACTTTAGGCCTGTCTTTAATAAATTTGATCCACTGAGACACCAAGCAATAATATTCAAGTTTCTGATTAGCATTAAGGAAATCTGTTGTTTAAATAGTTCCTATATCAGATTTTTAAAAGACCCGTATAGGCCTGGGTTACATGCCTTACCTTTTTCGCTCAAATTACTTCATATCAAGTTTTGTGTTCTCTGAGCTATTTTAATATAATTCTTTTTGAATGTGTATTAACTATATTATCGCTGGTGGGAACAATAATTTACATACACATTTGTTTAAGAGTTGGAATATAAAATGTAAGCTATAAAATAAGAGGCTGGGCACAGTGGCTTATGCCTGTACACCCAGCACTTTGGGAGGCCAAGGTGGGAGGATCACTTTAGGCCAGGAGTTTAAGACCAGCCTGGGTAACATAGTGAGACTTTTTCCGTACAATAAATAATAATAAAAATAGCCAAGCTTGGTGGCACATGTCTGTAGTCCCAGCTATTCAGGAAGCTGAGGTGGGAGGACTGCTTGAGCCTGGAAGGTCAAGACTGCAGTGAGCTGTGATTGTGCCACAGAACCCCAGCCAGGGCTACAGAGTGAAACCCTGTCTCAAAAAATAAAAGAGCACCAAGTGGAATACACAGCATTCTGAGTAGTTATGTGGTATCTAGCCTCTTGCTGCTCCAAGCCTGGCACCTGGACAAACAGTATCAGCAGCATCTGGGGGCTTGTGAGAAACTGCATTTTAATAAGATCCCTGGGTAATTTAAAGTTTGAGGAACACTGCAGCTTGTTCTTTTCAAGTAAGCAGCCATGTTACTTGTTTGGGTGGGGATGAAGAATGATGCTCGAAGAAAACAATTTTGGTACCATCTACATAATTAAGACTCCTGGTAGTTAGCTTTACTTTGTACATCCTACTTTGTTGGTAGATAAGGTTCCTATAGACTGTAAGTCTAACACACTAAGAAATCTCATATTCATTTGACTATCTTTCTTTGTATAGATTTTTAGTAGTTGTTCTATAGATTACCATATATTAACTGAACTTTCAATAATCTACTGAGAATCGGTGTTTTACCAATTCAAGTGGAATGTAGAAACCATATCACCCTGTAGGTCCCTTTGCCCTTCACCCTTTGTATTATAGCTCTTTATGTATTAATATCTCCATATTGAAAACGTCATTAGGCAGTGTTACAATTTTTGCTTATAATTGTCAAACAAGTTTTAAGCACTCAAGAGTAGTCTATTCTACCCAGATATTTACGATTTCTGCTGTTCTTCCATCATTTCTGAATTTCCACATTTCTTTCTAATACCATTTTGTTGTAGTCTAGAGGGTATCCTTTAGCAATGCTGTGGAGTATGCATGGTGGGAACAGATTCTCTTAGTTTTCTTTCTTCTATCAATGTCTTCCTTTTACCTTCGTTTCTGAAACACACTGTTGCTGGATATATAATTTTGCTTTAAGTTCTTTCTTTTTAGCTCTTTAGTTCTTTCCTTTAAAAATATTGTACTGCTTCCTTCTAACCTCTCTTCTCTTCTCTTCTCTTCTCTTCTCTTCTCTTCTCTTTTCTTTCTTTTCTTTTTCTTCCACATCAGGCAGATAATGCCCAACTGTTATAACAACAGTGCTGGGATTATAGGCATTAGCCACCACACCCAGCTAATTCTTCGGTATTTTGAGTAGAGATGGGTTTCCCCATGTTATTCAGGCTGGTCTCGAATTCCTGGACTCAAGAGATCTGCCTGCATCGCCCTCCCAAAGTGCTGGGATTACAGGTGTGAACCACCACACCAAGCCCCGATATTTCCTTAAATAAATTTCCTGCAGTGCCCTTTCTCCTCTCCTGGGACTCCAGTAAAATGAATGTTTGTTTTTCTTCCACTGGTTCCTTGGGCTATATTCATATATATGGGTCTTCTTGTACTCTGTTTAGGTGGGATGATTTTTTAAATTTCTTTCAGTCTATCTGCAGGTTCACTAACTCTTCCCTCTTTCATATCCTTCTGCAGTTGGGCTCATCCAATGAGTTTCTTATTTCAATTTTGGGGTTTTTCAATTCTAAAATTTTCATTTATTCTTTTCTTTAGATCTTCTATTTCTTTGCCGACACTTAATTTTTGCATTTGTTTCCATCTTCCAGCTAGAAAACTGGGGCTTTATTTTTCCCACTCTGCCATGGGCTTCCTGCAGTTGTGCCCATGTCAGGGGCCAAGCAATGGCAAGACAGAAAGAGAAAAGCAACTAGACTAGGCCCACCCTTTCAGAACTGTAGTTCCAATGAATGGAGAGGAAGCTTCCCCTCCCAGAGTTGTAGCGACTGCCCATCCCCAATTCAACGCCACTGCTACCACCACAGCGTTGCGAGACATGGCATATTGAGAACTGACAGACAAGGAGGGATATAATACATCTCTGTCCTTGAGGATTCATGCACACATTTTTAAGG